CAGCAATAAAATTTACTTTAGACGAAGCAAAATCTATAATTATATCTTATATAAATCGCGATCCTTGCTTAAAATTAAACACCATTCACTCTTCATAAATGGAAAGTAACATGAAATCTATTTTATGCCCTTTTAGCGATTCCTTATCCTGACTTGATCAGTTAATGAAATTTAACAGTATTTAGTTAATAATATAACAAATGGTTAATACTACTCTTAAACAAGTTCATGGGTTAACTCATTCCCTTACATGTAACTAGCACAACAACTATGAATATTTTTTCTGTGACCAGTTTCATTGTCTTTTTTTTTCTACAATAACGTGATTATACTTCCATTAAGTTGTCATTCATTGGTTGATGTTTTTCTATTTCAGGAATGATATACTATTACCAAAATTAGTATCCTCTACTTGTTTAAGGCTGCTGGACTACTGATAACTAAATAATAGTCCTCACATTCTAGTATCAAAGTGGATTCCAATGTATGACATAAAGTCTGGAACTCCTGTAGTCTTGGTACCTATCTTGTGGTATAATTATGTTATACTAAGTAAGCTAGATAATTACCATTTAGCCAGAAATCTCAAAAATTCCAGACTGAAGGTTACCGGCAAGGTCATTTTTGGGAAATGTTAACCGAACATTGAGAACTGCGTTTATAGCTCGTCCCCTCATTCCGGTGGACGGTATCAATTTAATGTAATGTTGTTTAACATTTGCCAATTTCTCGGGTTCAGACCTACACTAGTCGACACCTTCTTTGGATTCAATTCGTAACAGGATTTACAACTCTGCGGTGAACTGGTAGATCGCTTGCCGTTACGCTTTAAAAATACCAACCGGACGTTTCTGTCAAATGGTAAGCACTTCAGAATCAGGTTGAACACCTCAAACCAGCCGGTAACACAATACAACTTTCCTGGCCCTGGTTCTTCGCGAGGTGATCAAGTTTTACTCAGGGTCAAGACACATTTATGATACTCTAAACAGTCTATATGAAGGTAAACACAACTGAGAATCAAATTCTTTAATCCTGGATTAGCACTAAACAGCCTAAGGCTTAAACAAAATTTTCTGTTTTCTCCCTTAGTGTATTTCATCCGAGTACAAAACATGGTTTGGAAGTATCCATTCTGTCTACACCATTTCACCCTGTTGGTTATTGCTCGGTTGTCGAAGACTGCCCAATCTAAGGTTTCTGGGGGGTGGTATTGGCCTATTACTTGGTTGAGCTGCTCGTCCAGCTGGGTTTTCTTTAAATTCGGGGTTATCCTCAACCTGTGAGTATTTTGCGGAACTGTACTTCTCCATGTTCATCTCTAAGTACATCTTAAAGGAGGAAAATAAACCACTTATAAATGTAAATTGAAACAAAAAAAGTGTCTTTTTCGGGATAGCCCTCATGTTTTAAAAGGAGAAAGAAACTTGAAATCAATTTTGCTCTTGAAGATATACCAAAATTACTTTGCAAAAACATTTGCACATTTCTCGGTTTCAGACCTACTACCCTTTGTAGGGGAAGGGTGCGGCTACAGGAAGGCTATACTACGGCGTCAAAGAAAACGTAACTTACACTAAAAGAGAATTCAGGCTCCTTCAAATTTTATCGCTTTTATTTTTATCTCGTTAAATTTGTCAAACGTAGGCAAATTTTCCTTGAATTTTATTGTTGAGGATCGTTCACAAGAGTGGCTGCAATAGTCCAAGATTCAGTTGTCTTGGAGGTCCTAGTCCAAGACACGTGCACTTGGTCGTGTAAAGACAGCGAAGTGTACTAAGTATGATGCACAAGCATCATACTTAGAACACCATACTTTTCACATGGTTTTTACCAGACTCGTTTTGATTGTTGAACTTTTTTTTCTGTTAGAGGTCTGTAGAACTATAACTATATTGGTTCTCTAACTATATTTTTCAAACTATAAACCCACTCATGAATTGGCAATACTTTCTGATATGCCGAAGATGGCCTAACTAGATTTAAAGCTAAAAATGAGTTTGTAGAATATGCTTTTCGACTTTCCACATGCTTTTGTTTGTTTTCACTCACGGTGCGTTTCCTGAATAGATGATCCATTGTCAATAGGCCTTTTGCAATAGTCGGTCACGTGGTCAACTGTCTGTAAACACGAGAACAGTTTGCTTTTGGAAATTTTCAGCAGGAAATGAAAGAGAATATTGAAACTACGTAGACTGCAAATTTTCTGCCATATATATCAAAATTACCGGTTGCAACGCCTCCAAACGGACGCATTTGAGGGCTCGAGTTGTCTTTTATTAGGGAAATATAGTCAAGACCGTTTAAAAATTGCCAAATTAAAAGGGAATTTTAAGGAAAACCACTCTGACTGACTTGGTGGCAAGGGTTATTGTTCCGATACAGATCCTTCTAATTTCGGCGGGCCGTTATACAATCGCTACTTTTTGATGTACTATATGGCTGAAGATTTACAGATTACCTGTGATCAACTATTGAAAAAGGTCTATTCTTACACTACTGACAATTTTCGTTGGTGTCTCGTAGAAATCTGTGTTTTTTACGCGTCGAATACAAGGTACCTGTCCATTTCACCACATTGTTTCTGCTAAATTGTTTGGTCCCTTTCACCATTTTCACAACGCCCACAATACACCTTGTTTACTTCCCTCCCCTTAAAAAATTGCAGGACCATTGTTTTCAGTCCTCCCAAGAAAAAAATTAAATAATGCGGATGCAATTTTTCAATAGGAGAGTAAAAATGATGTACCGTGGACAATTTAAAAGATCTGGGAAAATGAAATTCTCGGTAGGACTATTGACTACAAAAAAGCACCTAGTAAGGCACGGCCTCACTGAAGAGTAATGGTACCGGAACCGTAAGATTGTAACACATCATGCACCTTAAATCTAAAAAGGACTACTGTAATCGAGGCATACTCTACATACCCCCAAAATAATAAAATTGTAAAATCACCTCCAGAGTCATTTTGAAAAACATGATGAAGTTGAAAACTCTTAAATCGCGACATTTAATGCCCTTATTTAAACGTTGCCTATTGAGATCGCGAGAATAAAACCTCGCGAAATAATTTCTTGCTAAAATCCCAATGAAAATAAAGTTCCCGCAAAATTAAGTACGAATAAGGTAGTTATGAAGAGAATATATATTTTTGACACCATAAAAGCTAAACATTGGATTAAATTGTTAAAAAAGTAACCTTTTTCTCGATGTATGTGACCAGTTTCTGACGAAGAAATTCGAAACTTGGGCGAAAGTCGGGCTCTTGTTGCCAGCATCTCTCCATCAGGTGGTACCTGAAAGTTGAATAGCAATTCAAGATGCTCAAAATCTTACATTGACTTTAAAAAGAAAACATTACGAGATCATTGTTTCGCAGTTGTTACTGCCCAGAGCTTCGAGAGGCTACCATCTTCCTTTGGAGCAGCTGAGGGGAGACGTTATTTAGTTGGTGCAGAGCACTTCGTAAAAAAAAATGGGCCTTGTCTAGAGGGCTGATCTTCTGGAGGCCCTCAATATTGATGTTTCCAGGGATTTTTTCGACGTATTTAACAAGGACTTTTTTAACTAGGCCAAGGGCTCTAATGATTACACGCACAATTTCTGTTTTAAGGCCCCACATCTTCGAAATTTCCATATATTTTAATAGCTTTTCAACTATTTTGACAGGATATTTGTTCAGTGGATACAGCCATATCAATCAGTAGGCATTTCTTCAGCTCTTGGTCCTTTATAATGATGTTAGGCATATTGAATTTGATTTCTGTTTTCAGTGTGAACCGGCATACCCCAGAGGATAGTACAGGGTTCATTTTCATTTTCTGTTATTGTCTCTGGTCTATGCTCCACTATGTTCCAATACGGTCCACTTGTCCGCCACTTTGATGTTGTAATCTTTTCAGATATACCGGTGGATGTAGGAGGCGATCTTATTGTGTCTGTGTATGTACACGGACGTTGCTAATTCAGGGCAGCCACTTGTTATGTGATCGGTGGTTTCTTCGTAGTGGTGTCAAACTCTGCACATTGGGTAGCTCTATTATTATGAGAGTAAGAAACTTTTGAATGCCAAAAGTGAGATACCATGTATCTTATGCACCAATAACCACTAAAAAAGAGGTATCAAATGTGCTTAAAACTGCCTACAAAACATTAAAAATATTTTAAATGATCAAGTTTCCTTACCAATACTAAATATGGCTATGCTAAAAAATGTGTTAAAAGATGTGTTAAAATGTGTTGAAAACGTTAGTATAAAAAAAAACAGTAACTAAACAATACCGAAAATATGGTTAAACATTGTCTAAAAAGTATTTAAAAACAATCAAATTTGTATTTCTTAGCGTATACTAAATTTGGTTATACTAAAAATTGGCTAAAAATTGCGTGACGCTTTAAAGATAATTATAAAATTCAAATCTCTTTAAAAAAAGTTCAAAGTTATATAGGGACTGTAAATGACCTTGCAATGTTTAAAGAGTGTGATAAAACACTTTCCTGTATTCTTTTTAAAATCAGCTTTTCTTTCCTTTCTCCCAGCAGTGACTTAACGTTCTTGGCCGTGTTAACCGAAAAAGCTCCCGGAACATCCTACAATGATATTACGTTGCGTCACTTATTCATAACCTGGATACTGCCTCTTGAGTTTAAAGCAAAGTGGCGCATATTGACTTAATATTTCATGGTCTTCTCCGACTCCTTTGCCTCTCTGTTCTTAATCCAAGAACAGCTCATTTCTAGTGGTGTTATTATCTTATCTTCCTTGTTAACTATTATTCATCCTTGCATCTATTCTGTTTGCTCTGACTTACGTTTTCTCGGCATAAACTTGCACATGCCAATAAGCTTTAGGAGGCTGTTTTTCGCATATTGGTTTTGGTTCGGCAAGAGAAAACCATGGAGGGATGGATGTCGATCAGACCCAGTTTTTTCAGGAGCTCGAAGAAAAGAATCTTTAACACCGCAAGCTATTTGGTCGACGCCAGAGCTGAACAGTAAGCTAGCACGTGCGACGTGGAATCTTGGGATTTGCTACAAATTCTGCGACATCAGATGATGGATTCAACCCCGTTCTTCTTTGCTGATAAACTTTCGTTGGAAGGAGCTGCTGGTACAACTCCTGTGCGCCCGCGGTGGTACTAGACGGCAGTGATCTGCAGGTTGTTAGCCACTCAAAACAGTCATCCTCCAAGTCGTTGTCATTCCAATTTGTTGCCGTTAGCTCTGCTTGCCAGTTCTCACTTTTAGCTCCTTACCATCGCCTTCTCTTTAATTCTTTCCTATGACATCTTCTAATTGACGCTCCATCCACTTCTCCGTTGTCTCATTTTTAGCAACAGGATGGGACTAAATTAAGTGAAGTTCCAAACCCAGTTCCTGGGCATATTTCTTGGCATCTTTAATTAACGCCTGTGGACCACTTCCATCGGTGTTCTCTTCATACCACCTGCATCAAGAATTACTGTACAGCTTGACCGCCGCCTTAATCTTGGTCAATTTATATTCTTCCTCTAATGACTTAAGGCCTCTTTCTCAAAATTTCCTAGGTAGGTACATCAACTCTGTTGATCCTAAGGGGTGCTTGCCTCCGGTTTTGGACAATAACCTTTCTTACTTCTCCGTCTTCTCTGCATGTTTCCCGCGTATTTCTCAAACATGTATCGGATACAGATCTCAATGCTCTAATCACCACTGACACAACCCTTACTTAGTTCAGCTTCCACAGCTTCCCTATTTTGTCGCAAAGAAGTTAATACTTCTCAACTGTTTACATCTAATTGTCTTTTTCTAGTGCATCTCCAGGGATAGCAATGTCCATGATCTTGGCCTCCCTTGCCTACTTATCAACGAAGATGATCTCCGGCCTTCCAGCTTCAAACATCCTATCACACTGTGCATTAAAATCCCACAGAACTTTGAAATCCCCATTTTCCACCACTCGCTCTGGGATATGTTTGTTCCACTGATCTTCCCGTTCCAGTTAAGCCTTCCCTTACATTTACCAGCCGGGGTCTTTTTCGGCAACCACTCCCATGTTTTCTCCCAATCCACTTCCGTCATGTCGCTGACATATTGCCCATTCATGTTTTCTTTCCATCTGTTTTCCATTTCTCTCGTTTCATTCTTCTCACCCTCCCTTGCATCCTTTGCTTCATTCCCCGTAACTGCTCCTCTCTCACTTACTTTCCTAAGCAACACCTCATCGGAATTCCTTACACACCAACTTACATTGTTTCACCCTACTGACACAAGCTTCGCGGCTTATGAGTCCTCTTCCCCCTTTCTTTCTTGATAGATATATTCTTGCGGTACCACTTCTTGGGTGCAGCTCTTATTTATTGACATCACCCTCCTGGTCATCCTGTCGATGTTTTGGAGTTCATTCTTTGTCCATCTGATCACTCCATCACCATATCGCAAAAAGGCTACAGCCCATGTGTTTACAGCCTTGATTTTTCCCCCATTCAATTTAGAATTCATTATCCACTTCAGTGTTCGCATTCCCTTTCACCAAAAGTCTGGTTAAAAGCCTGGTGAGCCTGGTAAACCCCGGTTGAAACAGACTTACCAGGCTTTTGACAATTATCAACTAAAATTGAAAGCCTGGTTGCGCCTGGTTTTACTAGGCTTTCAAGGTAAGTCTGGTTATAATTTACCATGAAAGTCTGGTAACTCAGGTCTCTACTTAAAAATCCTAACCAGAAATGCTTGGTTAGTCTGGCATTACCAGGCTTTCCTGGTAGGCCTGGTTGAAAGTTTCCAACTCAAAAGCCTTGCAAGCCTGGTTTAACCAAGGTTTTCTGGTAAATCTGGTTTAAAATTTCCACCTCAAAAGCTTGGTAAGAATATCATTCACATCCTTCTCTTTCACTCTATCCGGTTCCATCATTCTCAGGTGCTTGTACCACTCTTCACCCACTTCCTTAATTGTCTCACCATTCACATGTCGAATACCCTCAGTCTTACTCAGCTTCCCATTATTCACTACTGCCACCCGACCCTTCTTTAAAAGAAATTCCGTTCCTATATCTCGTCAGAGGAGTTCGTCTCTATAAAAAGCAACTGGTTTACTTTAATGTTGCAACCTGCTGTGGCATTTATAAAATACCGTACTCAACGTTTATCCACAAGCCGTTAGTTGAGTGCTCTAGCTCTCTACCGATCTTTTCACAAAGTCAGTTGCACTTGGTGCTACTTGGGCTAATAACAGACTATCGATAATCCAAGAATGGTGGACCATGTCATAGGCATTGTTATAGTCTATAAACGGCATAACCAAATTGTTGTGTTTATGTTGGCTTTTTTGTCAATACGGAGTTGTTCCTTGTTGTTGGTTACTTCTTCTTCCTGCATCCTTTCTGTTCAGCCGCCAGCATCTTATTCTTCTCGAGAAAAGTGTAGATCCAATCAGGTGTTATCCAGTCATTAATTTACTCATGAGAGGTGAACAGGATATTGGTATGAAATTATCGACTGCATTCCCCCTCCGCGGATCTTTTTTGACAGATGTTATCACTTGTTTACTCCCTAAAAAAGCACGCGACATCGCTTTTATCCCATTTATCTTTATCACCTGCAATGATGGCTTGCAGGGGCGTAGCCAGCCCATAGACCTGTAGGCCTGGGACTACAGATTTTTGCCGGTTTCATCACTCTACCGCTTGTAATAAAAAAAGGGGTTGTTCGGATTAGCTAAGAAGCTTAGAGCTCAAAGTGTTGCTGAGGTCAGTGCGTACTTTCATGCTTCTGATGCTTCCTATTTTCAGGATATGTGAAAACTGTAGGAAACTGTAGGAACATTGAGTCTTTTAAAGTACAGTTGAAGACTTATCTTTTTAAGAAAACTTTTAATTTGTAATTTTATATTCTTATTCTTATTATTATTTTTGTCCATTTATTGTATATATATATTTATTTTCTTGTACATATTGTAAAGCGCTTTGAATATTTTAATAGTTAAAGCGCTATATCAAATGTAATAAATTATTATTATTATTATTTATTACGTGGAAATGAAAGTCAGCTAGGCCTACAACAACAAGAAGCTGGCTACGCTCCTGGCGTGTATAAACACGGTTGAGATGGTCCAAAGGAGAGCTGCACGCTGGGTTCTAAATCGCTTCGACCGCAAAGATAGTGTAACCGAAATGCTTTCAACCCTGAAAAGGTAGACACTATAAAGTAGGCGAACCATAGAACGCCAATAAGATGCCAAAATACAATCATCTGGCCATTTGTACTCAACTCGCTCCAAAGAGTACGCTTACATACAGCCGACAGCCATTACTACAAGTACTCGTTCTACCCAAGGACAATTACAGAAGGGAATCCAGTCCCAAGGGAGACAGCATTGTCCAATTCACTGGCTGCTTTAAGAATTCAAATTCAAACATTTGTTAACACTTCATTACTTAGCGCTTAAAAGCGCCGTTTTAGACACTTTTGTTTATAATTTTTAGAGTGATCTAAAATGCTTGTTATTGAGCGACAGACCTAAAAAATGAATAATGAAATAAAATAAATAAATAAGGTATATTGATCAATATGCGTACTAAATAAGTTTATGACGTGAAACGTACAGCGTGTTGTCGACGTGTTCGGGCTTTGGCATGTGGTACCCATTTTTAATTTCCGCAATTGTTTTGGCTTCTGACCAGCCTGGATATGGAATACCTCCTGTGAATTGTCAAAGATGTACATTTCGTTATTCAGTCTTGAAGATATTACTCGGTTTTCAGCTTTTCTGAATTGGAAACGTAATACATGTTTACTTACAGATTATTTAACGAAAGTTTAGACACAGAAACAAAGTTATTAAGGAAATTAATCATTAGTTGGAATTTTCATTCTGGACATTGTATAGTCATGACCTACTGATAAACAATGACAGTCATCCTTCTTTGATACGTACACCAGAGGGATAGAACTATGTACTCGCAATACAGGAGCCTCATGGTAGAGATTGTATGGAGTTTGTCGTATTACAGGATAGCAACAACTCTCCGTAATACAGAATTTAAAGAGACTGCACTGAAACAAGTAAATAATTACCAGACCAGTTATGGGGTATGGAGATTTGAATTATGCAGACGAAAGATATGTCGCCTGTATTGCGGAGGTCAGTACGGACAGGTTACCAATAGGCCATTTGCACTAAGAGGTCATGTGACATCGTTTTTGTGGAAATGAAAGTTATATGATTTTTTCTTCAAAAAACGATTAGTGGGTCATATCTTTAACAAAATAATAGTGATTTGGTTTTGCAAACCTGCACCATTTTCTTAAAATGAGTAAGTTCGTAGCTGGTCACGTGACCAAAATGTGATTTTTAAAATTATGAATTACCTTTTTCTGAACACAAACTTTGCACTTAAACTTCAAGGAAAATATTGAAAAGTTGATGTGGGAACGTTTACAGCACATATGAGCCTAACTATCAAACGTTGAACAAGATCTAAGCGAAAAGTAGTTTTGGCCGCCATGTTGGAGGGCAAGAGTATGCCGTCCAACATGGCGGCCAATACAAATGATACTACTTTGTTGAAAAATCAAAGTGCCATAAAATATCTCCCTTAAACGCTTTTCCTCTCAAATTTCAGGTGTAAGATAATTTTTTGTGTGCTCTGTCAATTTTTGGCATCAGCAAGATTCCAGCTCATTGTTTAAAGAAAGCATTGGTCACGTGACCTCCTAGTGCAAGTGGCCTATAGACTGTATTAGTTCACTTTAGACTAATGATTTTCATGTATTGCATTTAAATATTTTTGGGATCCAGAATTATTTAAACTATATCTATCCCCTTAGAATTATCTCTTTCTCAGAGACAACGTATGGGACTTTTAGCTGCGGGTGCGAGTGAAACTATCACAGTTTACCCTTTAACTCTTATTAGTTCCCGCTCAGAAGGTAACTTAAGGAATAAGATTACTGTGGCGAGTGATCAACTCGCCATACTCTCATACTCTCTAGCGCGATCTTTACAATTTAATTTTCTGCAAATTTTTGTGCAAAAAGTTAGAAGGGTGAAAATCTTTGTTTTTAAACGAAAAAGCTTTAATATATCACCTACCAATGGTGAATATCTCGTACAGAACGACTCCATATGACCACCTGCCACCAAAAGAAAACAATTAGAAAGAATGCTTGGTGCTTGATAGTTTGTGTTGTTCCGTAAACTACTCTTTTCTGAGTTGTTTAGCTATGAAACACTAATGACTTGTGCTTTACTGATGCTTAAAAGAAATCCTTTTTGGAGAAATAATCCTTTCAATGTACGCTGTTACCTTTCAACGAAAAAATACATATCAGATTTTTGGCAGCGGTAATGGATCTTGAGAAAGATCATATTAATACGCAGTTTGAACTCGCCGTCGGTTTGCACAGCGGTCAAAAAAATCGTCGTTAAGCAACCACCCAAACCGACAAGATTTAGGTGAGAAAACTGATTTTCTTACTTGGATAGGTGGACGCAAAGGGAATTTCGACTGTAAATTATAAAGGACGCAGTAATTAAGAAAAGAGAAAGTTTATCAAATCCAGCACCTGTTCCGTCTTCCGTCATTATTAACAGTACTATCATTTTATTTTGTTAAGCATCTTGCTGTAATTGCTTTCTGATTAACTCTTTTGTGTTAAAACATACACGTCACTTTTGGTGGAAAGTTCTGCAGGATTTCCGTAAAGAATCTCAGGTGCCGTCCACTTAACAGGGATGCAACCCTATGATATCAATGAGACAAGAAATAAACATTCACATATGCTGTTGTTTTACATAGGTCTACTAGCATTATCTAGCTAGGCTGAAATTGTACTTTCTATTCTAATTTTAGATAAGACAATCGAAAATTGAAGTTAGGTTATTCAGAAGTTGGATTGTGCAAGTTGTTTTATCGTTATATTTATTTTTTCTCACCAGTTTGCTTATGACAAAAGTCCTTTCTACCACGTAGATGTTAATAATATATGTTTTTTCTTTTTGTTATTTATGGCAAATTATCAAAATTAATTTATGTTAACACACCAAGGATCAACAATAATAAGGAAAACAGTGTAAATATAGTGTTAAAGGATGATCAAAAAGGATTTCCTTTTCTCTAACATTAAAGATCGTCAATAACGTATCTGTCAACTACAGTGGAAAATCATCGGAAAAATTGGCAACAAAAATAGCGTGCTGGGTAGCCATTTTTTTTTTGGTTTCTTTTCTACCAAGACGTAAGTTGGAAAAGAAAAGTACAGAATATAACTGTGTTGAACTCAAGAGAATTATTAAAGAAATAATGACACAGGATAAGTCTGTGCCAGTTTCATAGGGGAAACACGAAAGGAACTTAAAGCGTTTCAAGTTTGTATCGATTTCATTGTATCGGTTTATAGAACCTGATACAGTCATGAAAAAGTTACATGGAGTAGCGAATTCTTGCTTAGTTAAAGTGGCGATTCCTTTCCATTGAGACTACTAACTGTTGGACTGGAAAGAGACTCTTAATCTTTTCTTCAACATTACTGGTGCGTGTTTTAGTCCACTAAAATACAAAACTACAAAACTGTCCCTTTAACTGAGTTCGGATTATATTATAGCGAGCGCTTCTGTTTCCGTCACTTGTCAATAAATCCATCAGAATATTAATTTAGCGTTTAACAGAGCGTTAGAGTTTGATAGGTTAAATTCGCGTACCTTTTTTGCATTGCCGTGGCCATACTTGAAGCTTTGATAGGATAACCCGAAATCGGTAACCTTGCAAACAAAGTTTTGATCAAGAAGGACGTTCCTTGCCGCCAAATCACGGTGAATTATCTAAAAATAAAGACGTTAAATGGTCCTAATTAACGGAAACAAATTTGATCACTAGTTTTCAATAATTCTTAGTCTCTAAAGATGCGAGTATGGAAGACGTTTGTTTGGGAATATATCTCGTAATCTGAAAACCGACAGTCTCTACGACAAAATTTTAACCTTGTACAGTCCCTTTACAGAGGGACCAATACTTTTGTATTATATTTTAATCTCTAGAAAGTGACCACCCAAAAGGCAAGGACTTATTGGTCGCTTATGGGAAGTGGTCGTTTACAAGAATCGAACCACAGGGGGTCTCTTCCAAGATGAGTTCCGGACACGTCTAAAAATAATTCATTGCAAGCAATTTCTATTTCACAAAATATGTATTTCTATTTGTTTCTAATAGATCTTCTTATGCTCTACGTATCAAGGAACGTACAGCGAACATACACATCAGACCATGCGTCAAGTTGTCACTTACAAGAAGTGTTCGTTTATGAGAGGTTCGAACTGAAAGGCGTTGACCCTGCTTTGGATAGGCGGTCGCTTACGACATGTAATCGCATATGGATATATTGCCTTTATCGACTTGACCAAGGCCTTCAACCTAGTCATCAGGAAGGGTCTATTCACTCTCCTGCAGACGATGGGATGCCCCCCCAAGCTCCTAAGGATGATCACGTCTTTCGTCCGCTCAACCTCAGACCCCTTTCCAATCAAGAGCTGAGTGAAACAGGGCTGTGTACTCGCTTCCACACTCTGCGGCATGTTTTTCTTCCTACTCCTATCTTACGCCTTCACCCAGAAAAAATGAATGGTGTGTACCTTCACACCAGAAGCGATGGAAACCTTGCACGTCTCCGAGCAATCACTTAAGTTCGGAAAGTACTGATAAGAGAGATGCTGTCTTAACCGCACACAGCGACCTCATCAGCTTCCTTGCACGCTTGTAGCGAGTTTGGTATCACCATCCTCCTCAAGAAGGCCAACATCCTTGGCCAAGAAGTCAGCAGCACCCCAAGCAAGTTCATCGGCGACTATACACTCTCAAGACGGTGGAGGACTTCAGTTACCTAGGTTTCATCATCTCCAGCAACCTCTCGTTAGACGCTGAACTGAACAAACGAATTGGCCAAGCGGCAGCAGTACTGGCACATCTAAGGCAACACCGTGTTGACCATCAGCAACAAGATGAAACTAAACCAGGCCTGCGTGCTGAGCACGCTGCTCTATAGTAGCAAGACCTGGACCCTCTACTCCTGCCAAGAGCGCAGACTCAATACTTTTCACCTGCGCTGCCTCAGAAGGATTTTAGGCATCACCTGGCAAGACTGGGTCCCAAACAAGGATGTCGTAGCACAGGCGGGATTACCTAGCATGTTCGCCTTGCTCAATCAGAGACGACTAGGCTGGCTTGGCCATGTAAGCGGCATGAAGGACGGACAAATTCCATTGTACAGCAAGCTCACTACTGGAACTAGACCTGTAGTTGTTTGTAACCGAACTCTGAAGGCAGGCAATATCAACTCTCATATTGGGAAGCTATAGCTGCAGACCGAAATCACTGGAGGCTTGCTGAAAAGGCAGGCGTGTGAGGAGAGGAGAAAAGAGCAGTGAGATGGGAGTACAGAGCACCCGCAGAGCCAAGTTCGAGTTGATCTGCAACAACTGCAACAACACCTGCTAACCCAGAATCGGACTGCACGGCCACAGCAGGCGCTGCAACTCAACCACTGACTAAACTTTGGAGCTGATTCCATTGTCTCCCGAGACAGACGGATGCCAACAACTATCTAAGAGCCTACAGTTAATTTTGCAAATCAGCACGACCTACAGATTAGTTTGTTATCTACTAGCAAATATCTGACTAAACTGTAGGTTGCGCACGGAAATTATGATTTTGCGTCAAAAACACTGCTCTTTGTTGTATATAATGACACTTACATCGGATATCGATCACTTTACGATCCCACATTATGGAAGCGGTGCTTTTCGAACCAACTATACTATAGCGATGGAACAAGCAAATCGCTGGGCCAATCGCTCGCTTACCGCATCCAGAAAACTGAGTATATGACTGTGTAATTCAATTTTTTTGAAGAGGAAATAGTACAGCGTTATATTATAACGTTACTGATTTCTTGCAAGTGCCCCTAAGTCCTGACCTGATTGTAATATCTAATACATTCCTTCTTGCCCAGGTACAGTAAAGGACTGAAACCGCTCAACAAAAGCCGCTCCTGACGATTTCTTAAATGGAATTTGTCTCAAGTTGGTACGGACAACTAAATCTGCAGCGGAGTAATTATGAAGCAACGAGCGAGTAACAGCAAATTCTACATTTCATAATTGTTCACATACCCCTCTGCTTCCAAGATACACCATTCCAGTGGCAATGTGCTTTGCAAATAAGACCAGGTCATATGGCTGCAGCTCAAAAGCCTCACCCTCTCCATGATGATATTGGTCGTGAATTCCTCGGCTCTTTCTCAAATAACCCAGCAGGTCTCCATATGCCATGTACTCCATGATCATTATTGGCTGAACTGTAAAGAGACAATCCAAATCAGTGAATATTCCATTGTCGCTACAGTATGTTAAATGAAAAGGAAGAAGAAAAAGAAGACTAAATATCGTGTTGAAAAGGATAATGAATGAGGAGTTTTACTTTGTGTCGTAACGCAGCCGATGAATCTGACAACGTTAATATGTGGGTTTTCTGCTAGACTCTTTCCTAGCTCAATCTCCTTCATAAGAGCTTTTCTTCCTTCTCCTCCAGCAGTCGCTACAACAGAAGTGATGAGAGCAAGTTCAGTCAGCTTTGGTTCTTAAACACGCCACATGACACTAGGGCCAGCCACAATAGCGATTATCTAAGGCACACTCGTGCTCACAATCAAAGATAAAGGTGTCTAGTGTAACATGTTGAACTGACTCACGTGTGAAGTGTTTTGCTGCCACAGTCTGTGCTCCATGCTTTTTGTCTGATTGTTTCAAAGTTGCTTTCCAGACTGCCCCAAATGCCCCAGAACCAATCACATTTTCTAGTTTTATACGGTTACGTGCAACCTCCCATTCATCCACCTCGTGAACCAACTCGTCCAGTTCAAGTCCCGGATGTTCATCAGTGAGACTGTAAAGGTGAATAGGTGGCAAAAAGCTATTACTAAGAAAATTGGGATAGTTTATAATTATGCAAGACGACTTCAAAATGAAAGCGTTCGAAGCAAAAAAGAAAAGAAATATATAAACTAAACATCACGGTAAAAAAAACAAAGAAACAAACAAGAAAGCAGACAAACTAAAACAATACGACCCGAAGAAAGTTAACCAGGATCAATTTTTTAGCATTTTAATAGTGATTCTTTAGGCCACAATTACCAAACGCGTCATGCCAGTTTTACATCTTTAAGCATAATTTTGATAAGAACAATGAGACTTTATTATCTATCTTACGTACTTAGTGTTTTTATTGTTTAGTATAGTTTTAATTTAGTGACAGGTCTCGTCTGAAAACCACCCATGGGTGATGGCGACTTCCTGTATAAAGATTATAATTACTTGTAATTCTACCTGGAGTTTTGAAAACCGCGTTGCCTGAAATCTTAAGTCAAGTCCAGTACATTGCAGGCAATCTTTCAAATCATAATTTGCTTAAAGCCGGGATGCTTTTAGTGAAAAAATAAAAATCTCCCTCTCCAGTACTAACAACCCTCAGCTCTTCATCATGGGCTCCAAATATCTTCCTGGAATTGACGGAAATCAGTGAAAATTCCAGAAAAATACAGGAGGGGGCAGGCCGTCCTGTTTCCCCCGTTTGGCCAGCTAATTTTTTTTGAGGGGGGCTTCCGTCAAGCTAAGGTCATGTTGTTGCATTGTTATGTACTTGTTTTGTGCTTTTTGCATGCAAGCAATGACCCACTCTGTTGATAATATTCCAAGTCAGTAAGCAGTTAAATTGGTGGTTGTAGGACCTGGTTTTGTTGAGCAGTGTTGATTTGGATTGTTTTTGGGAGACCAGTGGCATTGAAAATTGGGAAAATGGCTTTGCAATCGATGACGCTAACACTAAAATTGTCCCTTAAAATACCTTATTTTTCAGATTGATGAGGAAAGCTTAACTTTTGTTACCTTCAAGACAAACGTTTCTATCAAATGGCAGCTCATGTATTCCAGAATTTGTTCTTGAGGTGAGATTTAACTTTTCCAGTAAAAAGGGCCATTAAATTACCAATCAGTGCGAGACACTGACATGTTTTAGTAGCCCGGTTTGCAAAAAAACAGGTATATTACTTTACGATCAGTTTAGATATAATCTTTTCACCGCTTTCCTTTACTTTTAAAAGTGTAAGTTTAATCGTATTTATCAACGTATCACCCTGACAGCAAAACCCTTCTTTCGCTTGCTCGATTTTGGTGTCCTCAAGAAAGACTGTGCTTGAATCGAGTAAGATCTCTGTTGAGCACGCTCGGTATGTTGCTAAGATATTTATATATATTTATATATATTATATATCCGTGCGTTTGCTACAGCGGGCTCGGCTATGACCAGCGGTTTAACATTGAACGGATGCTTGTTCTCGAAAAATAGTTTGAAAAAGAGAAATAAAGATTGACTACCCCAGAAGTTTGGGATGCGACAGCTCCAAAGGCTTGACGCGATTTGGCCGGGGCCTCTTTTTCTCCTCGATAAAGAAGACAAAAGTAGGCTCCGCTTGCAGTGGGTCAACGTTTTTACTTGGGTCCTCAAATACATAGAATGCAGGATTAAAGATTACACTTACTTGGCCTTGGCTGTTCCCCATGAAGAAGAAACGAAGATAAAAAATAACTAGTCAATACAACGTTTTAAAAGGGCAAAGCAGTACTAATAACAATGCTAAGGCGACGGGAGGTCACCTGGTACCAGGAAATTAAAGGGTCGGAAGACCAAGAAAACCGTGCCAACTGACAAAAATAATAACAATTAGATATTTGTAATAACGACAGTCTATACACGCTTTTAATAAGTCTGGGCGCCATCTTGAATTTTCAATAAATGACGTCATTCGCGGAAAGATCATACACGTGGCCAAAATGGCTACCAAAGATGAAAGCTCTGTTGACGTTGATTTTGCAATATGTTCATGTAAAAAGGAATGTTTTTACTTTATATCAAGAGGAATATTTTCTTGATGTCTTTATGGGTATGTTATCGTAACTTTAAAGCTTTCGTGCAAAGATATCCCAGGATCGATGATATCGAGGGCAAACGAGAGCTAATTTAAATGCAAAAAACAAAAATGCGAATTAAAGTTTTGGCTTAATCGTCGTGGCTTACGTCAACAGACACGCGCTGAACTTTTTCCCAGGTTATCTTTTTTATAGGCCAATGGTTTTGATACTTTTTAATTTTTTATGCGGGCCTTTATTAAGAGCCCATGACTGTAAATATCGAGAATCGCTGGCCAGGCTAAAATAATCGAAAATTCTGATAATTTGTCAGAAAAACCCCTTTGGGGAACTATCTTCGAAAAAAATATTTTCAACTTTCAAGAATCTATAGTTTTCGAGAAAATGAGGAAAAACGAAAATAGCGGTTTTTACCTAATTAATTATGCAAAAATGAGAGAAAAATGACCTACTTTATCGCGTCTGTACCGAGGCAAAATTCAAAGCTATAAAACAGAAATATTTTTGTTTAAAAGAATTCTGTCTTTTCTTTCTATCCATGGTATGTTTTAAACCATAAACATGATTTTGAATTTTTTACGGTTTTTCAAAAACTACCACCAAGCGTACTTTTTAAAATGGCTAAAAAAGGAGCAACTTCAGAGGCAAAAAACTCACCTTGGTATGTGTGATAGCTAGCCAAAATGTATACTAGGACAAAGTTCAGCTCTTATATTAACAGAATATGAAATAAAAAACCTGGGTACTCCGGATTCGCCTTTACAAAATAAAAAGTTTCGTGACCACCAGTCATGACCAGTGGAAAAATGTCACAAATTTGCGTAAGTCAAATTTATAGAGAAATGATGCCGCCTGATTTTTCTTTTTAGTTTCGGTACGTGGTATATTCGAAACGTCGGAGAAGGGATGAAAGCGCCTTTAAATGAAGCTAATATTAAGTAGAGGTTCTGAAAAATTGATATCCCTGATAACAAATCGCTGTGAAGGTTGGTGACACAATGTGGCAAATTTACATATATATGTATCTGCATAGTCCCATCGTACACAATGACAGGTTTCAATACTGTTAGCATCCCGCAATATTTGAGGCTTAAGAATAGCATAACCAAGAGAATAGCTAATGTTAAATGTTTTGTAATTTGTATGTTATTAGTTCTTCTTAATGGTACATTTTAAGATTAAGGTTGCTCAGCAATTGTTGTTGGGTGTTGGAGTACTGTAAGTAGTCTGCAATTGCGTGACCGTTGTCAAACTCAGCACAGTCAGACTTGATTTTTATCGGTAAGATAAAGAAATGCGAGCTTATGAAGTAAGTGAAGAAATATTATCCATGTCAGATTACTTAACTTTACTTTATTCCGGCCTGAATGAATTTCGCGGTGATACATTTTTATTGGAGTGGGCACATGCTTTTATAGTACCGATAGTTCATTCGTCGAGGCATTTAAGGGATTTGCCATTAATAACACTATACATCAGACCCTATAAGTTTTCAATCAATAAAAACCCGAAATAGTTATTTTTCTCAGTATTTTTCAAAGTTATATTTTGGTGAAATTGCCACTTCTTGCATATTTAAAATATCGTAAGTAAAGACAAGATTAAAGTAATCATTGCCCCCTTTTCTCTCTTTTCTGAAATTCTTCCACCTCCTCTTTCTGCCTCTTCACTGTTCGTGCGTTCAACACTATTAAGTCCAGACACGATTTTCAGCACCCAAAGATGGTCAAAGATCGCCAAGTGGACCGACCCGTAGTTGTGCCATTGATTAGTTGAAACCTTCATTGAACAGACCCTAACGGATCCTTGCAATTGTCCTCTCAATAGAAAAAGTAAATCAGATAGAGGGAGTACTGCCGACACTGGGGTCGTTTTGGTGTTTTTTTTTTAACCATGAATATCCTTCATAAACCTATTTAGCTTTCCATTTATTCACCAAGGTTATAAACTGATCAAAATCAACAAGGATGGATTTTTCCACTGGTATCTCATTTAGCAAATTTTCACCTATCTTTATGTATCTTGAGAGAGTTATACACACACAAAAAGCAACATTTGGGGTAAAAAAATCCACTTCCAATTTTTCTATTCACCTTCTATTCTCTACAGATTAATTAAATGTCCCTTTTCTGAAAAGTTAGCGGCAAAAATTCCTTGCAAAACAAAGACAGTGGGAAGACGATCAAGTGCCGGTGCAACAGAAGAAGAAAGGCCAAGGGAAAAAAGAGAGCGGGAGAGAAAGATCGATATAGGTTCGTAAGAGATATCCAAATTTGGGGTTATGTGAATGCGCCAAAAAAGCTTCTAAATTAGTGTACGTCCAATTGAGCAGTCTTGTGTTGCAAATCTCTTTTTCCGCCATTTCCATATCAAGCTAACTGGCTAGCCTGCCTAACAGGCGCGCGTTTTTCAGGCGAGCGAAGGCAATTAAGCCCGAAGCCGGAGCGAAGGCAAGCGCGAAACGAGTGAGGAGAGCCATTAAGGGGTATGTCTGGGGCGGAATGCAGAAAAACAATGCTATGTGGACAGGCCGTTGTTTTTTCTGCGTCTTCCCCGTCGCGCTTATCTGCGCTTCTCACTCACTTGGCGCTTGCCTTCGCTGTCCTGCAAAAACGCGAAAAAAATAACGCCTGTTATGCAGGCTACTAACTGGTTGAAAGCCGGTCCAAAAAGGAGGGTTTGGTTAAAAGGCGGGGTTTTCTTGTACTAAAATTGGCCGTCAAAAAAGAGTTAAAGGGGCTATGCCAAGCTAATTGCTAATTCATTTTTAAAAGCCAATATGGTCTTCATTTCGCATCAATTTACTTCCAAAAATTATGGTCCAGTTTTGTTATGTAAGACTATGTTTAGGCACTGAAACTGTTTCCTGTCGCGTTCTGTTGCTACTGATGGCTAGGATGGACATGGACTGAAAATTGGAAAAAAATGGGTCATCTGCATCACCCAAAAAGATATTTTTGGCTAGTGCTCCCTGATAAAATGATATCTTCTTCATACCCCACATGTAACTCTACAGGAACATTTTTTGACTGGGTAAAGGCAGTAAAGGCAGTAAGTAATGACTGATAATTAGCCCAAAACAGCAAATATACTGATTTGTGGTCTTCTTGACAAGAACTGTCACAGGGAGCCCAAAACCCCCGCCTCACACATTGATCAATCTGTAACCAGCTGTTGACATGTTTCGTTCCTGCGGATATATAATATTAGATACCGTCCAAACTTAAGGACACTGTAAATAGAGGGTCTGCTGGTAAGAGGGAAATATCTAAATATTGGATTGTTTTTTGCCTGGTATCACAAATGGCAACAGCTAAAATTTTCATAGTCAAAATTCCAAACCAAGGAAAAAATGTTTTTCCGTAATTTTTTGGTAACGGCATGTTATTCAGCAATTAAATAGCCCCCACCCCCTCGCATATGCCATAGCTAAACATCAATTTAAGAGCAGTTTTATTGCATAACTGTTCTTTCCCTTTGTCTGAGGTTCTTTCCTTCTTTACTTTGGGAAACAGTTAGGCGTAAATGAAACCGCCGATGCCACTTACTTACCTCGCTATGTTATTTAGCTCCTTGTTCGCTATCAACTACCCTGAGAGCAGAGGTCCTTCGATCTTCCTAGATAAGTCGGGAAGAGGAGGGGAAGGGTAACTATCAACTAAACAGTGATTCGATCGGACGTTCCGTTGTGAAGGCTCGAGCTGGGACATTGCGGGTACTGACGTTAATACTCCTGGGCAAAAGGCAGGTATTTCTTTAAACAAAACTCGGGTCCGCTGTAAACTGAAAAACGTAGTCAAGCTACGCTTTTACTGTGCGTCACCTTACTGCCAGGTTAGTAAATGGTACTTATGTCGATATAAGTTCGTTGCCGCAAACTGCGATAGTCCAGGGGCTTCAAGGATGACCTTTCTGATATTTCGCTTTTCAAGATGATGCTACGTTTTGCAAGCACTCGACATGGGTGGGAGTTGGTTAGAGTAGCTCAAAAGCGGTGAATAAGGAGTCTTATCTTCCATGGACAAATGCTAGTCGCATCGTCGTGAAAGGTGATTTACTCCATGTGCGACCACCTATCCAAAACACCAAAACCCACCCAGTTAAGTCTTCCAGCTGGAATCTCTCCTGTAGCTGGCAGCTGCCTAATTCTACCTATATTTGTGAAAAAGTAAAGAAATTAACCAAGGGACGGTTTGTTGTTTGTAATACGTAGTAAAAAAGTTAGATTTCAACATCTCTGACAAGAAAATGCTAACTTTTAGTACGTGACTGACAGGCATTCAAAGTTAGTATCCCTTCTTTCTGAAAAGAAAATAAACTACTGAGAAACAAATGATGTTGCCAACAACACATTGTCTGTTGAAAACAAAGTTTCCAGAAAGTTTCATAAGGAGAAAATAATCAGTAAAAGAAGGTGGAGCTGCTCGAGACGTCGTTGCGTGACATTGTTACTCTAACTGTTAGTTTATGACTTCCTTTCACGCAGCGTATCCCGTTAGCAAAAACCCTCCTTCAAAATAAAATTTCAAGGAAAATGTACCTACCTATTTTAGATATACCGGAGGCGAATTTACGATGATACAGATGGATGCTAATTCAAGGAAGTTAGGAAAAGAAACGAGAGACATGGGATATAGTTTACATAATGATTCGGCGCTTTTATATAACGCTTCTTCGAGGTCGATTTTTATTAATATTTTTTTTGTGAACGGTTAATTACTCTGATATTTCAACATAAACTTTATAAAAAAAAAAAAACGTTTTCTTGCTTCGTTTTGTTTCCGAACATAACATACTGACCCTGAATTGGAACAAAACCGGCTGCCGCAACATTTCTCTACAAATTTGACTTATGCAAATTTGTGACATTTTTCCACTGGTGGTCACGAAACTTTTTATTTTGTAAAGGCGAATCCGGAGTACCCAGATTTTTTGCTTCATATTCTGTTAATTATAAGAGCTGAACTTTGTCCTAGTATACATTTTGGCTAGCTATCACACATACCAAGGTGAGTTTTTTGCCTCTGAAGTTGCTCCTTTTTTAGCCATTTTAAGAAGTGCCATTGATGGTAGTTTTTAAAAAACCATAAAAAATTCACAACCAAGTTTATGGTTTAAAACATACCATGGATAGAAAGAAAAGACAGAATTCTATTAAATAAAAATATTTCTGTTTTATAGCTTTGAATCTTGCCTCGGTACAGACGCGATAAAGTAGGTCATTTTTACTCTTATTTTTGCATAATTAATTAGGTAAAAACCGCTATTTTCGTTTTTCCTCATTTTCTCGAAAACTATAGATTCTTGAAAGTTGAAAATATTTTTTTCGAAGATAGTTCCCCAAGGGGGTTTTTCTGACAAATTATCAGAATTGTCGATTTTTTTAGCCTGGCCAACGATTCTCGATATTTACAGTCATGGGCTCTTAAAAGAGCTAAAAACGATTACCGCTCGTGGGATACTTAGATTACCAATCAGGTATTAATAAAAGCTAATTGAAAGGATTTTTCATGTACCTGCTTTTCTGATCCTTTCAAAAATCAACGATAATGGTGATCTCGATAAAAAGTTTATGCTTTTCATCACCAGTTTTTATGTTATTATGTATAAGTTTTAGGGTAAGAAAGAAGTTGGATAAAAACGTGTATACTCCAGTCGACCCTTGCACAGAATAATTTTTCACTCTAGGGAGGCGTAGCTCAGTAATCCAGAAAGCTATCAGCTCGACTCCTGGTTAGAGATGTAACCACTAAAGAGAGCTGGAGCAGGGATGAATTCTTCCAAAACACTTTACTTACATTTACATTGTTGAACAAGCAACGAAAAAATCCGGGGTAGAAGCAAAAAGCTATCTGAAAGCTAATAATGTCAAAAACACCCTAGAAAAGGGATACAAATTTTTATTTGAAAATGACTGTCACGACGATTATTATAGGCTTATATAGACAAAAAATTTATGAAGAGGGGAGTGCTTTAAATCACTGAGGAAGAATGAAAGGCCTCACAATGTTAACAGTTGTAATGATGATGAACTTGTACAGCAGGAGAAAATGGTTACTGTAATCACATGTCTTTATTATGTGTTTGAATTCGCTGAATTCCCAAGAACTGGAATGTGCACAAATCCCAACAGTAGCGCAAACCAAGGACCTTGGGTACGAACTCTAATTCATGTTATATATAAGGCATATAATGTCATCAATCCTTATTACAGGGATAAAATGCTCATGGAGAAATGAGGGCTTTAAGGTATCCCTTGTAGACACCTGGTATACAGCCAGGCAACATACTGTCCAAAATAAACAGAGGGCAAATTAGTTCTTTCATTCACTTAAGACAATTAACAGTCCTGCAGTAGTTTCAAGTAATAAACTGGACACAATGTTCAACGGGTAGTGACTTAAACATCTCTCTCTAACGGAGGCACACTTTAGTGTTATGACCACTATCCCAGTTTGCCAACACCTAGAGCTGTTGATGGCTCCTTTCCTGAACTCCCAATTGACACTGACACACCAGCTTGAGTGGGATTACAAATGCCCCTTTTTTCAGGAGGACCAATTTAAAGGTTGTTTAAAAATTCCTAATCCAGTCTTAACTGAGAATAAAAAGAGCAAAAATACGTTGTGGTTGTGGTTGTTGTGGTTTCAAAGTAAAAGGTTCAAGTTAACTAGCTGTAAATTGCACTTGTTTGCGAATGGAAACTCAAAATCTCTCACTGCAAACAAGGTTTGTTCAAAATACTCTACTGTCACAGAATGATGTTTCTAATAATATTGAATGGCAAATTGTTGGTCTTAAGCAGCAAATAAATATGCTGAGTACATGAAAAATATTGGTTTAGCATGTATATTTATATGTAAATATACATCCATATTCAGGTCTTAGAGCGTGCTGTTGTGGTATCAAGCACAATTAAATGCCATGGTTGGCTGCTTTACCAAACAGAAGGATGATAGATAATAAATATTAAGTTATGGTTTATTAGATTTAAAATGCCCTTTTACATTATGAAACTTAACACCTGAGAAGGCGACTAGATGGCTGTCAGAGTCAAAATTCACATACCCCTTAGGATTTTGGAATTTTTGCTGATGTCAGCATTTTTGAGACCGGTTTTGGGTGGTTTGGGACAGTTTTTATATATGCACTTTTTGGACTTAACCTTGGGAATCCGGTTTGAACCGGTTTTGGGCGGTTTGATTTTAATAACATCTAAGCCCAACCATATCACCATACTGAAATAGTTTGTGAATATATATTATTTTGGTTTTTGATTCAGGATCTGGCTGATAGTTTTGATATTTATCCTCATTTGTGAATACAACATGAGAATGATTATTGGTTATTTTAATGTTTTCTTTCACAATCCGTTACTACGTACGTTATGATACAACCTCGCACGTTCTAAACTAATAACACGTAATATGCATACTAATCACTAGGCGTGTCACGCATGCGGTCACGCCATTACATCTCTCCCCCCATCACGTGGATGGGACGCAACGGTGCGAACGAAAATAGCAAACAAAAATAAATAAATAAAGCAAATAAATTAAATGTTGCTAATAACGAGTAAGCCCTTGTGTCCTTTACAGGCTCTAATGTAGCTAGTAGACACGCAAATGCTCGCTATTCGCAAATAAAGTCCTTATATTTAGTGTCCTTTGTGGATCTTGTTTTCCTTCTGGGCCTGTCCAAGGGCACATGTCTTCGCTCTGTGTCACGGTCTGATCCGGGCTGCCGAGATCTCTGCCTACTCTCGTACTCAGCTGTGTCGCTGTTTGCTCTTGGCTGCTCATGACCTTGCCTTGATTCACTGGATCTGTCCGCTGGAACTGCATCTCCACTTGGCCCTGCTAAGGATCTGTCCGCTGGCAATGCATCCCCACTCGGCCCTGCTAAGGATTGCTCTGGACATTCAATTATAACTTCATCCGGTTCAAATGCCTCACCGCTGTCAGAATCATCACACCGCAGTGATTCCCTACAACCATTTTTGAGCAGTTTCCAATCGGCGTAATTCCTGGTGCGAATCCTAACACTGTTCTTGGCAGTGACCAAGCTTCCCTTGACGCCAATGACTACCATAGGCTCCGGGTCATACAGAGGGGTCAGGCTGTTTTTACGTTCCTGCTTGCACAACACAGTGTCCCCGACTTTAATTTTCATCACGGCTGTGTGTCTTCTTTTATCAGCATATTGTTTCATCTTCTGTTTTTGTTCTCGGTCCCGACAGGCTGTCCCTTGACTTCAGGGAACTTTCCACGTAATTCCCTTCCGAACATGAGCTTGTTCGGGCTGACTCCAGTTGTCGCATGCTCAGTTGCTCTGTATGCCCTGATTCCCCGGTTCACTTCATCCCTCACGGGTTTGCCTTCCAAAGAGGCGATCCGAGCGGTCTTCTTTACTCTCTGCATGAACTTTTCTACATCGCCGTTGGCTTCTGCCCACCCGGGTGTCACTTTCCGGTGCTTAAACCCCTCCTCTTTTGCGTATTCTTCGAATTTATGGCTGTTGAAGGGCGGTCCGTTATCTGATTTGATTTCTTTTGGCACTCAATATGTGTCGAACACCCTCTTGAAAGTCGGTATTGTTGCTTTCTCGCTCGTGGAGCCCACGAATTCAACCACTGGGTATCTGGCATATTGACAGTAAAATACGAGGGCGAGGTCACCACTCGCCATTGGTCCGCAAAAATCCACGCTGACCTTCTCCCACGGTCCTTCCGGTAGGTCTGTCATCCGGAGTGGCTCGCGATGCGTTTGCGGCGTGTTAGATTGGCAGGCGATGCATTGTGAGTCCATTCCGGGAAACCATACATGTGCTCTCAAAAGCTGTTTTGTTCGCACCTGGCCCTGATGACCCTCGTGCGCAATTTCCACCATCCTATGTCTAAGTTTTGCGAGCACAACGATCCGATCCCCTCTCAAGACAATCCCGTCTACTATGGTTAGTTCATGGAAGACTTGCCGAAATTCGTGTGTCCTTGTATCGTTTGTGTCTATCCAGCCTTGGTTGATGTACTTCTTTAGTGCTTGAAGTGCTGGATCTTCCTCAGTGGCGTCCTTTACCTGGTCTCTGGTGACAGCTTTGGGCGTGCTGCACGTTACCACATAGTTTACATAATGCCGTACCTCCTTAGTCGTTCTCAATTCGAACTTGGAGCACTCGTGAAGTGGCATAGGGTGACGTGATGTGTAATCTGATATGTTCTCTTTCCCAGGACGGTACTCTACTATGAAATCATAGTCCATCATACGATTGACGATCCTTTGGACCCGGATCGAAGATGTGTGGGTGGGTTTGTTGAATACACTTTCAAGAGGCTTGTGGTCAGTCACGATCTTAAAGGGTCTCCCATACAGGAACAGGTGAAATTTCTTGCACCCAAAATCACCTGCTAGAGCTTCTAATTCAATCTGGCTATATCGTTTTTCCGGGTCGGTGAGGCTCCGACTGGCATATTGCACCACTCTCCAACATTGCTCTCCAGGCTTTCTCTGGGTAAGTGTTGCGGCCAAACCCACAGAGCACCCATCAATATGAAGCTCGTGCTCCGCCTGGGGATCAAAGTATGCTTGGACTGTGTCGCTACTGAGCATGTTCTTAAGTTCCTCGAATGCTTCTGAGTGTTCCGGTTTCCATTCGAATTTTCCGGTCACTAGCTCACCCAGTTTGCAAGCCGCTTTCTGATTCTGTCTGGCCTCCATGAATCGCGAACTATATCTGACCGTACAGAGGAATGAGTTAAGTTCGGCTGCATTTCTAGGGCGTCCTGCAGATTTAATGGCTTTCACTTTGCATGGGTCTGGAGATACTCCATCTTTAGAGAACATCAAGCCATAGTAGACCACGCGATCTTTTCTGAATTCACATTTTGCTCTGTTGAATGTGACATTCTTTTCGCGGCTTCTCTCGAGTAATGCTACCAGGTTTGCATCGTGTTCTTTTTTGTCACGCCCATGCACAATGATGTCATCACTTATGTTGAAAACTCCCTTCAGGTCGTGCGTCAATTCCTCTCTGATCGTCTCTTGAAATATCTCTGCCGCTGACCTTGTACCATAGTTGAGCCTCTTATACCTGTACAAGCCAATGTGAGTTGAAAAGGTCGTTACGTTCCGCGAACTCTCTTTGAGTTCAAGTTGGTGGTATCCCTTGCTCATATCCAGGTGGGAGAACACCGTTGACCCACTAAGCTCATTGACTACATCGTCTATTGTGGGGTGCTGGGTGTGTCTGCGGGGTATTGCCTGATTTGCCACGCGCATGTCCACGTTCAGACGTATCTGGCTCTGATCTTTCTTGGGCGTAACCACAGGCGGTGACACCCATCCTGTAGGTTCATTGACTTTTTCAATGATGTCTTGATCAATAAGATGCTTTATTTCTTCTTCCATCTTCTGACGTACGCTGAACGGTTGCCGGCGTGGTGGCTGTGCAACCGGCTTAAAATCAGGGTCTACATTCAAATCGACCTGGATTCCTTTTAGCTTTCCAATTCCTTGAAACCGGTCCTTGTATTTCTCTAACACTTCACTCAGGTTGTCTGTCCCTTCTGGCTGATTGCTTTCTGTTGCAATTGAATTGGTCACAAGAATCATTCCGAGGTCTCTCGCATCATTGTACCCAAGCAAAGGTTCGGTACGGGTGTCTCCTTTTATTAGCTGCCACGTGATCACTTTCATCTTTGTCTTAGATTCCGTAAGCGCTTCAAAACAACCCAGAACAGGCAGGGTGTTTGCTTTCGACGCTGCCCCATATGGTTTTATTTGGCATCTTGACTTTCTAACCTTTACTCTTTTGTCTAGGCCGTATTTCTTGAACGTTGCCTCATCCATAGCGTTGACCGTAGCACCGCTGTCAGGTAGTACCGTAATGTCAACTCCGCTAATTAGCACTGTTTTTAGGGGCCTATTGTGTGACTGTCCCACGGGGTTCACCTCTTGCAGCGTGCACGTGGACTCTTCATCACTGCTGTCCGACGATGTGTCAGATATTTGCTCGCCTCCTTGGGCTAATTTAATTTCTTGCTTGTTTTTGCAACACTTTGCAAAATGTTTCTTTTGCCATATCGCGAACACTGTTTTCCAAAAGCCGGGCATTTTCTTTGCCCCCCCTGGTGTGGCCAACGTTTCCCGCAATTAAAACACAGTTTTTCTCTACCTTTGTCGACAGTGGTTTTATTGATTTCTTGCTTGACAGTCACTTCGGTCGTCGTTTGGTTTTCTACTCTTGTAGCGTGTTGATCCGCACTCTCAAGGCCACGAGCGTATTTGAGAGCTTCAGCTAGCGTTAGTTGGTCTTGCAAAAGCTTTCTTCTCACTCTCTTTGATTTGGCGTTCGTTATCATGGCCATTAATATCTCTGTATCCAACCATCCTGCCGGAAAATCACAGTGTTCGCCCTCTGCTTTTAGCCTAGCGATGAACGAGTCCCAGGTTTCATCTTTTCCCTGTATAGTGCAACGAAATTTGTGTATATTGAACAGCCGGTTTTGCGATTCTTTGAACTTGTTCAGTAGTGCGGTGATAGCTCCGTCCAAATCCGTTCCCGTATCGTCAAGCTGTTCGAATATATCTAGTGTGGCTTCGCCTATCGAATCTAGGAATAATGATCTTCTTTGGTGCTTGTCTGTGATGTTGTAGGCTTTCAAGTGGTTGTTCTTGAACCGCTTAGCATATTTTGAGAAGCGCGCGTATACCGTTTCGGGGTCATTCCGAACGTCAAATTCGGGAAATTGTTTGTATCCAATGTTTACCGCCATTCCACTTTTACCTCGTCGCCAATTTAATGTCGAGCTTACATCGTAGGTCTTTCACAATCCGTTACTACGTACGTTATGATACAAACTCGCACGTTCTAAACTAATAACACGTAATATGCATACTAATCACTAGGCGTGTCACGCATGCGGTCACGCCATTACAGTTATTTTTTTGAGTCCAAAATCCAACCTGTCTATATTTGCTTTTGCAATCATATCCAATATTTTGTCGACTATTGGATTTTCATTTATTTTCTTTTTATAAGTATCTAAAATAGGATCTAAATAAAAGCTCTTGCCGCATTTATGATCGGCTTTTTCTATTGCTTGCTCAGGTTCAATGAGTGCTGATCCTTTGCATCCTTCACAAGTATTTTCTATGATGCCGGATAGTAGTAATAACCCACGGCATGAAATTCTTGGTTCTTTTAGCTGGTTTAATTGCTATAATGTTGATTTTAGAGCGGTTTTCGTGTGCTTTTGTACGACTTTTGATTTAATATTTGAGACAAGGCCCAATTCACTGGTTAATTTTTGTTTACTAATGCTTACTCTACCATTTGGAGGAATATACATAGATATCAAACTAGTGCCTCCTGATAGAGATTGTCGTTTGGCTAAAAGACAGATAAAATCTTCCATATATATATTTTGTATATAATTATGGAATATAAAAAAGGTGTGTTAAATATATACTGACTTGTTTTTAGTTTGTGATAATTCTATTTTTCAATTCGATGGATTATTTTATAATGCATTTTTAGGGTGTCCTTATTAAGGAATTGTTTGATACAATATTTACACGGTACTCTGATACCATTCATATAATCATGGATATTCATACAGATTCTATCATAATCATTACTGACCACAAAAGCATAACCATTATTAACGTACTTTTTCTTCATCTCCTTTTGTGCTTCTGATACATGATAATTATTAGTTGGTGATTTGAATTCAATACAGAGGCCTTTATAATCTTTGTGATAATCTAGTATCATCAAATCAGGTTGGCCGCGGGTGTAACCTTTCTTATATGAATCGAGGCGTTTGTCATCAGTATCCTGATTCTCTCCCAGGCCGGCTACTAATATAGTATCTGGATAGTATTTTCTTATGAGCTCCACTACTTTATTATGGAGGTCAGTCTCATTGCCAATCATAATCATCTTATTCCAGGGACTATCAAACAGTTTGTATTGGCCATATTTGCGGATAGATGGGAGGACTATAGTAAATACCCATTGGCGGAATCTTTTGGCAAACTCTAATTTGGAGCTAAATACTAGTTCATAGAAGCCAGCTTCATTGATAAAGGTGTACCATCTACTCTGTTGGACCTGAGGGGGCGAAACGTCCACGCCAGCTTTTTGAACCTGACCCGTCATTTTGACGGCCCAGCTTTTGGGTTGTATAAGATGGATCATTTTATTTCCTTTTGATACATGCCTTTTTAATACATGGCGAGTATCACTATATCCAAGGATCTCAGCAACATCCTTACCCTTGAACCAAACATTTTGCTTATCATCAATAAATGATGTCAGCTCAATTTCTAAATCTTTATTAGCAAACTTTTTTTTCAATCATAAATACCATACATATAGGTTACATAAATATTATCATATAGGCCAATAAAATGGTAAATATGATAGATTAAAAAGTATGCTAGCCTAAGGTGCCGTTTCAGCACATTAGACCTGACGCCCCGTTTTAGGGTATCAAATCAGGGACCTGCCGTCACAATCTGTTACGCCAGGTCTTGTTGTCGTACTCATTTTGCACCCACTGTCCACATTTTATGGACGCTGGCAGTTTACTCATTCTCCTCCTCCTCTTCCTCCGTTTCAAAGATTGCACCTAGGACGCCGGTTAATGACATTTCTACGCTTTCCAGTTTTCTGGATAGTAATTTCTTGTGGTATAATGTCGCAATTTCTTCCTCCATTTTTTGGATTTTAGTGAATAGTGCATTAAGCTCGGTTCCTTACTCTGGATTTTAGTATCAAGCTTTCTTATATGATCGTCCATATATACTATTAGTTAGATAATTCTTGCAGGTTGCTTAGTGGAATCCAACCATTAAAGTCGTCACTATAGACCAACCATTTTACAAGAGCTTGTTTCTTCTTATAATCCCTCCGAATGACCTTTTCAATACGAAATACATCCTGTTTTGCTGGTAGAAATTCGGGCTCATAAAAGCTACCTTGTATTTCCTCATTATTGAGATCCTTTAATCTGTATGTGATCGGGTTTGTGGATTGAATTTTATCGATAAGGAATATGTCTTCTGTCCAATTAGGTGTGTACCCTTTATCGAACACTTTTCTTTTGTACTTGCTTATCCTAACCTTATCACCAATCTTGAATTTGGGCTCAGATGACAACTGCTTCATATCACCATACAGATTGTAATACACGGTATTTTCATTTTTCTTTTTACTAGCTTCTACAGGTGTCATTTTAATGGAACTGTGTTTGGTGTTATTACACTGCTCCAATATTTTTGGCAATATGTCTAAATATACGGTATTACCCTGGACAGTAAACTGCTTCCACATTTTGGTTTTAATTGTACGGTTCCATCTTTCACATACACTAGATTTTTCCTCATTTTCAGTTGAGTATAGTGTTATGTTATTCTTTTCTAACAGTTCTTTCATATTTTTGTTATAATATTCTTTCCCCTTATCAGTCCAAAGATATTGTGGTTTACGTCCCTCTTTGAAGATGGTTTTGAATGCTTCTGTGACAGTTTCCCCTTTCTTATCCTTTAATGGAATAATCCAGCCATATTTGGAGAATAAATCTAGTACCACGAGAAGATATCTATAACCCTTGTTCCATTTGCTGAACTGTTGCATCTCAACCAGATCTGAGCACCAAATTTTGTCAATACCGGTTGTAATAACACGCCGCCGAGTAAAGTTGCGTTTTATTGGTTTATGTAATTCATCCGCTAATTGTTGTTGCCAACTAATACCCGACGGGTTTTCTAGTTTAAACCAAGACCGAGTTTCTGTTTTGTGTTTATTAGATTTCTAGCTAACCAGTGACCCCATTGTCGTTCACTATAGGGAATGGCGTCTAATGATTTTACCATTTTACGGTCAGCTTTATTTTTGCACTTTCGGTTATCACCACAAACACTATAATCAATATCATGCTGCATGGCCACTGCATCGGTTGGCCCAGTTGGTTGATCATAAATTTCTAATATTTCACCAGTTTCTGGATTGTATCTTACTTGGTTTTCTAAATCATTATAAGGACCTGTATATTTATGCCCTGGTAAGGTCCATCCGCCTGCGGCTCTTGGTAATTTTCCAATGGCCTTGTGAATATCCAAAGCACTTCCATCAAGATCTTTCCTGTTTGTTTTGTAGTTTTTCTTTGGTCGTATTTTGGTTGATAATTGGTTAAGAGCTTGAGAACCGACATTCTGGATCATTGGATTTAATTTGTCCAAAGCATAATCTATAGCTTTTTTCTGTAATTTAGGGTTTCTGAGCGCTTTTGACCCGTAACATCTCCCCATCTCAACTGCTTTTTTACCCATCCATGGAAGCCCGTGATGTACAAACGCATCAAGAGCAGTACCAGCTACTGTGTCCATTACGCCTGCCCCTAGGACAGGCTGATCTAGTTTCCCTTCTTTACAAACTTAAACTTTTTTATTCCGCATTCAGCGCAAGTGCACCAAAACATGAGTCTACCATTTTTAGCTGTTTTGTAACCCGAAGGTTCTACACATTCTGTTTGCTTCTTCTGTTTAACACAATAAGATTTCACCATTATTATATATTTATGTTATATAATTATTGTCTAATCACTATTACCACCGTCTGGAACATAAGTATCATAGCTGCTATCTGACTCATAATCGTTCTCACTTGAGAGTTGACAGTTGCAGCACTCGAAACATCCATATTGATTCATATATTGTGGAGTAACTTCTTGGCAATAAACACAGAACTTTTCAGTCATCTTATATATATGGATTACATAAAATAGTTTATTGGATTATAATTACATAAAATAGTTTATCAGAAATTGGTGATTTATCATCAACTTCAACTTCAACTTCAACTTCAACTTTATTTCATAAGACTATTGGTTACAATAGACTGGCCCGCAAAATAGCAATTGCTAATCTAGGCGGACCAGTTAAAAGAAAAATAAATTGAAAGGAAAAGAAAGGAAAGGAAAAGGAAGGAAAACTACAATTTTAAGTTACAATAAATAATATTCTATCACAGTTTTATTTTAATTACATTAAATCTGAACAAGCAAACAAACAAATACTTTAATACAGAAATCACTAAACTATTAATCGAACTTTTTCAACTATTAAGGGCGTCTCAATATAGTCATCTTCTCTTTTTAAGATATCCGAAAGCAATCTGTGAAGTACTTTCCTAAATTTCTTTTTAGGAAGATCTCTAATATGACAAGGCATCTCATTCCAAAGTTTTACACCAAAGCGAGACAAGGAGTTTTTGTGTATTTCCAGCTTTGAGCTTTTGACGTGAAAGTTACCTGAACTAGATGATCTTGTATAGTATGAATGAATTGTTGAGGTTTTTTCAAATAAATTGAGCAGATTTGTTGGCGAATTGTTGTTGTTAATATCGTGCATTAGATTAGCCACAGTTTTATAATACATAAATGACACTGGTAATATGTCAGGGTCGATAAATAGAGGAATTGCGTGTTCACGTATATCAGTAATTTACATCATGCGAAGCACTTTTTTCTGGAGAATTAAAATTTTATTGACGGACGTCTTGGATGCCTGACCCCAGGCAGCAAGACCATAGTTTAGGTGAGGGTGGATTAATGTTTGGTAAATATATATATAACAGTATATGACGAGCACAGATCCTTGGGGAATGCCATAACTTAAGTTGGCTTTGTTTGAAATGTATGGTCCGATTTGGGTAGATTGCATCCGATTATTTAAATACGAGGAGAACCATTAATAATTCCACGAAAACCATAGTGATTAAGTTTATCAAGCAAAATGTTATGATCGACAGTATCAAAAGCTTTCTTGAGGTCTATGAAGACTCCGCACGAGAAAAGACCTTGATTCATATTAATTTGTATTGCGTTTGCAATGTCTAATATTGCATGTTGAGTCCAGTGACCTTTACGAAAACCGTACTGGGAGGAATACAATAAGTTAAGTTTGTCAATGTAATCTTTCATTCTGTTGTACATGATCTTTTCAAAAATTCTGTTAAAGTTAGATAATAAGGATATAGGCCTGTAGTTATTCGCATCATTATCTTCGCCACTCTTGAATATTGGAGTTATTTTGGACAATTTAAGTTTTGAGGGGTATTTTCCTAGTGTTACTGAGATATTTAATATTTCTGATAGAATAGGAGCTATGATACTACTTGCACACTTTAATAGTTTTATGGGAGATGAATATAGACCATAAGACTTGTTGTTTGGTATGGAGAGTTTCTGAAATTTCACTTCGTCGGACGTATCATTTGATTTGTAAAACTGAATTTGGGGTTATGTATAACGTCTAATAATGATCTACCCTTTTGTCTCTCTCTAGAAGATAATATAAGCACCAATAACCGCATAAAACACTGTCTCTTTCTTGTATTTCATCTAATGAGTACACCATTTTTTACCGCATGTTTTCACATAATTTTTGATTTCATTGGGCATGATTAATATTCACAATATTGCTTATCCACGTTTCTATAACAAATCCAATGACTGCCCCCGCCCATTGAATCATCCAAATTAATTATTCCTGTTTCCAATTTGGGTATTTTGTCTGGTAAATTATCACGGCTGTAAATACCCTTAAAATGTTTTATTCCTAATTGTTTGACCATTGTAACAAATCAATGTTCGATAATGGTTTGTTTATGAATCTTACAGTATTGTTCCTAGAATTGGGATTGAATTGAATGGACTGTTTTCTCCGAGCAGCAGTCCCTTTCCCTTTCTTTTCTTTTTACTCCCGCACCAACCGTGTTTTCCCATGTTCCAAAGAAAGGTGGCGACATGTAGGGATACGGATTATACATTCCGTGGCCATTAGTTGTATCGGGAACATAAACAGATGTTGTATTGGCGGAACCGGTTCTGTCAGCCTGCAGTCCTTTTCCCGTCAATGCATTTAGTAACAGGGGGACTCCTATACTTGCTAAAAGAGTTCCTAAAAACCCAACCTGCTGTGTTTTCGTCGGTCTGATAACTAATCCGTTGCCAGTTTGGAGAGCGTTAAGAATATCCTTTTTCTGCCGTGGTCAGTAAATGTCTGTATGCAACCAGTTGTGCTATTTTGTCCATTGGAATAAGAAAACCTCCTCGTTGACCTTTTCCGAATATTTTGTCCACACCCAGACTGGCTAATCCTGATAACGCTCCTGTTACAAGTGGAGCGGCAGCCTTTCTGACTATTGGCATGGCCATAGGTAGCAACTTACTTCCTAAACTGATTAATGATCCCCACAAACTACCGCCCTGTTTAACAGCCTTTCTGATTTGTGTTTTCGATATCTTGATATCCGACCCTGTACCCTGGCTCATTGTTTTTTTTCAATTTATT